CTTTGCCAACTTTCTGAAGTAGAAGCTGGAGATGAAGAATGAGTTCACCCTATAATGAAACCCATTAGTAAAGCTAATTTAAAAACATGTGAATCCCACAAAAAATGGAGAACTAGGAGCAGAAGTCAAGAACCTTCTACTAGTAGAGATCTCCCCTCTACTAGTTATGACCTTTAGCTCCCCTACTCTGACTGACTTGATGAATGAGTTGACCTTGCAGCGGAAGAGCATAGAATTAATAAATAAACTGATTAGAGGTTTAGAACGTCGACATGATTACGATAGTGAGTACCTTCATAGACATTCAAATTTTGAGGTAGCTTATTACGAAGCTCAGGCCCGACACTACAAAGGTGAGCCTGATGTTACTTTTCCTGAGTGCCCCTGATATACTCAATATCAGCCCGATCCACCTGTTGATCAAGGCGACGAAGATATAGCTTAGGATTTTGATATTTGAATGTAATTGATGTACTTGTATTTGTACTTTTATTTCTGTGATCTTTTGTAATAGAAATAGATGTTTGTGTGTATTTGGATTTTTATTTTTACTATGTTATACTTGGATGATTTTTAATTTTTATAGTGTTGTAGTTAAATTTGCATGTTTAGTATAATAGATGTTGAGTAGTATTTTGTAATGTAATGTAATTTTTATTTTGCTTTTTAGTTGCAATTGTTTTGTTTTGTATTGTGGTTGTGTTAGGAAATGTTGTGTTTGTTTAATGTTTTAGTTTTATACTTATTTCAAAATTTTATTACCCAGAAATTTCTCTAATGATTTATATGTGTAGAAAGCTCCTAATATTGCAGATCAGGTGAAGTAGAAATTTTGAGAAGGCCTGCAAAAATTTCAAAATGATTAAAATACCTAAGGAATTTAACAAATTTTTTTAGATTCTACTTATGTTAAGAAAGACAGAGATAGATCTCGGAAGACTTGGGCATATCGGATAAAAAATGATCTCAATTTATTAGAATTAAATAAAAATATTGCAGTAAATAGTATGCAATGGAGAAAAAGGATTCATGTAGCCGAGCCCACTTAGTGGGATTAAGGCATTTTTTGTTGTTGCTGTTGTTGGAAATAAACATATTTTCTGTACTCATTCTTCCAAAGTTTATAATCATTTTTGTTGGTCCAATTTTATACTCTTATAGTGGCAACATTATTTTTTCTTATTTTTGTTTTATCTGATTTGATACTCTTTTTTTTAATGATGCACATAGTTTTAAATAGAAATCTTGCACGAATAAAGATTAGTGTTGAACATAATTCTAATAAAGGAATGAGGATGGAAAATATTGTGCAAATGGATGTGAGAAGCTGTTAGGCTAAGGGAACTTCATTGATGTGATCATGTGAAGTTTTCGTTGGAGCAGTTGTAGTTAATACTCAAATTTTTTCTTAGATGGGGAAAAAGGAAGTTTATTGTGTTTAGTTTATGGGATCAATGAGACCAAAGGGCAGAAGCTATTGTGAGAAACCCACTTTGCCTTTCCAGGCCTAGGAGTGAGCATTGAAATCTTAAGGTAAAGTGTTCTCCGTGCTGCTTAATTAATTGTTATTTGTGATGGCAAGCCATTCAGTTCTCCATTGATTACACTTGAATACTAAGTTGGATATATTAGTTTTGAGCCATTTGAATTCATTTAATCACTTCGTTAAAATGAAACTATTTTTAATTTGAGTTGGTAGGATTTCATTACAAATTGAACTACAATAAGCATTATAGTGAATGAGTTATTTTTCATTTAACTTATAGACTATTCTTTGTTTTGTAATATTGCACTTTAAAGAAAGGTATTTTTTATCTTTTATCGCAGGTATACCATTTTTAGGCATTTGGAGCAAAAAAAGGCAAAAAGAGCAAAATTTAAAGAAAAAATAACCAATTTTGGGGTTTGGTACATGATGCGCCAAAATCCAGAGCGCTGGCGCATGATGTACCAAGCGTGACATTTTCAAATTAAGGTGGTTTGAGACAAAATTTGGGCAAATTTTCAAAGGGGCACTTGTTCTAAGCACAATTCATTAAAAAGGTCCCCCGACGGCGCCCTCGAGGCCGCCGACAGCGAGCTCAACGGTTATGCCCAATCAGGCTTTGGACAAGGCCAAATTTTGGAGGGATGCTTAGGCAACACATGGGAAAGCTCATCCGCAACTTTAAAAGTAGATTTTAGCCAAAATTTGAGAGGTATTGGAAGGGGAAGAGAGTTCCTGGAGGTTAGAAAGGTTCCAATAGTGTGTAAAAATTGTGAGGAATTCTTTGAGAGATTGTAAGAGTGGAAAGAAAGTGAGAGATTTCTTCCTCTTTACTGCTTCGAAGAGGAATTCTGTGTGCTGTAAAGAATGGAAGAGTTTCAGAGGAACTTCTTGGAGTTTTCCTGGGGAGAAATTAGAGATAAGTTTATTTATTATTGTAGTTTGTATGACTTTGATTTTATATATGAATTCCGAGTTTTGTTGTGTTTTCCCCATAAGATCTGAGTAGTTTTCTCTGTCTTTCTCCTTGTCTTGAGATTTGTGTGAAATGGTGATTTGAATTGGTGAAGTCATGAAAATGTTTAAGAAATTATGATGATCTTTTCACTTCGATCTTAATTTACTTTCAATCCGGCCAATTGATTTGTTAAAATATGTTGAGTTTTACAACTAAAATGAAGATTACATCCAAGATTCAGGGAGGTCGAAGTCCTCTGAAGTTGGGTGCAAATAAATAGGGAAATAATATTATCGGGCATAGAATTGGAGATTTTAGAGTGACAGACTAAAATCCTCAATTCGGTCCTATAGTTTGGGTGTTGAAGTGTAGATGTTAGCCCTCAGGTGAGGGGAACGTGGGAGCTCCGAAGTGGTATCCTCCCAGCCTAGTTGCAGATTCAGTAAACAAGCGTAGGATTAGTCAATGTTCTTTATGCCTGGACCAAAAGGTAAAGAATATGTATCTCCTATTTGGCACAATATAATTTGAACTAATTCACTTTATCCATCACTATAATTTTTTGATAAGGAGAAGGATGTTTTCTTATATATTGAATATCACATTCGTACCTTCTTTAGTATATTTAGTTATTTAATAGTTAAAATTATATATTTATTTCAACTTCCTATTAGTAACAGATAAGCAAATTGAACTTCGTTGTTGTGATTAAAGTATTGTTTTTCTAAAATCTTAGTTCGTAGTTCTAATCTTACTCCCCGTGGGATCGATATCTAGGACTCCATTATAGCCCTATATTACTTGAGCGATACGTATACTTGCGTTGATAAATGTGACTTTACAATTATTGAATATTTATTACGTCCATATTTATTAAATATATAACTGTTATTAAATTTTGGTACCGTTGTTAAGGAATTAAATCTTTTTGCAGCAGTATTAAATATTTTTATTTTTAAGAATGTATAAAGTTATCCGAGCACAGAGAAAGGGAGCGGGATTGGTTTTCAGATCCCACACCCAGCGTCGCTTGTTTCCACAGCCTCGACTTCAGCGAGCACAATGGATACTTCAAGGGTGTGGTTACCGACAACAACCACGATCCCGGCCGTAGAGCTTCGTTTACTCGCGTAACCTTTCGCCACCCGTTCCGCTGCAAGCACCAAAAGGAGCTCTTCGTCACCGCATAAGGCATGTACACCGGCCATTTCATATATTGCGGTCGTAAGGCAAGGCGTCTCTCATGGTTGGAAACGTTTTACCCCTCCGCTCAATCCCAGAGGGTGTCGTTGTATGCAACGTTGAGCACCATGTTGGTGATCACAATGTGCTCGTGAGGGCTTCAGGAGACTACACTATCATTATCAGTCATAACCCTGATAACGGGACTTCTAGAATCAAGCTCCCATCTGACGCTAAGAAGATAGTTCCCAACGGATGTCGAGGCATGATTGGTCAGGTCACCGGTGGTGGCAGAACGGAGAAGCCTCTCCTCAAAGTTGGCAAAGCTTACCACAAGTACAGGGTGAAGTGTAACTACTGGTCAAAGGTTTGCGGAGTCACCATGAACCCTGTGGTGCATTCCCATGGAGGAGGAAACCACCAGCATATTGGCCACACATCAACCGTTCGTTGCGATGCTCCGCCTGGGTAAAAGGCCGTCTCATCGTTGTCAGGAGAACAGGTTACCTCTGGGGACAGGCTATCGCCACTGCCGCCAAGGCCAAAAAGGGTTCCTAGTTTCTCAGGATTCTTCTTTTCCGATGTCTTTCAGAAAGTCGGGGGATCTTACTTCACTTCTACATGGCTCCCAAGAAACCATGATAGCAAAGATGTTTTGGAGTTTGGTCAGACATCACCATAAACCATCAAAAAAAATTAAAAAAAAAAAACTTCCTGCGTTATATTCTCCTATGCTGGCACCAGTGATGGGGCTCCATCCAGAGCAACACCAACGATGCCGCCACCCTCCTCCTCATCATCTCGCCGGAGATATCGTTGTCGTGGATCGAACAATGCCGACAAAATTCATCGCCTGCCCTTCCTCCTGCAGTATTTTTCTTCCCTGTCAAACCGTCAGGGGGAGCTGTGTTTCCAGCCGGTCATTTCTTCTGCAGTATTTTTTTTCTTTCCTGGCCCAAGCGTCAGAGGGAGCTTTGTTTCCAGCCGCCCTTTCTTCTGTTGCTTTCTCTGTCAGCAGAATTTCCCTACAAAACTCAAAATTTAGTCAAACCTGAATCCAACAAATTCAGCCAAGTCTGAATCTCTCTTATACATCGAAACATATGACAGACAAAACTCAAAATTCAGCCAAACCTGAATCCAACAAATTCAGCCAAGTCTGAATCTCTCTTATACATCGAAACATATGACAGACAAAACTCAAAATTCAGCCAAGCCTGAATCCAGCAAATTCAGCCAAGTCTGAATCTCTCTCTACGCCAAAACATATGACAAACAAACTGAAAATTCAGTCAAGCCTGAATCTAGCGAATTTGATAATCCAAACGACCAATTTTTCTTCACTCTTCAACAAGTTATGAATTATTAACATACATTTTAAACTTAAGGGGGAGTGTTAAGAATTATAATAGAAAATAATTTATTCCTATAAGAAGTTATGAGGAATAAATTATTTCCTTAACATAAGAAGATATTTCCTTTCCTATTTTATATTTATTTCCTTAGATTAGGAATTATTTGGTTTCCTATTTTATGTTATTTTATATATCTCATAATAATTAATATGAATTAATTATTGGAGATATTATATGATATATCTTTCCTTTCATATCATTTTCTTTTTATTATTTTTCCTATTATAAGGTTCTTGTAAAGGTTATTTATACCATCGTTCATATCAATAAAATAATTGAGTATTCCACATTATTCTGAAATTCAACAAAAAAAATTATTAAAGGCATATACTTATTTAATCATTTGCTTCAAATCTTCAAGCCAACAAAGAATTGTGATTTTCATCTCTTATTCCCAGATATTTTAATGCTCTAGCTATTGGCGGTGCTATTTTGCACTACTCTTTGTTATACGTTGGTAACATGTTAGAAGTTATCCATGAATTATAATTATTTAAAGCTTTCAAATAGTTAACAGAGTTAAATTTTGAAATAGGTTATCAAATAGTTGGCACTATTTAATAGGTTTAACCAATAGCATATGAAATAGTTTTCTATGGTTTGACTCAAGATCTACCAAATATAAATGACATGATTTATGATACTTATTTGAAATGATAACCTTAAATCCCACAGAAATCTTAAGATTTAGCTTTAGTAAATTATTTATGAGATTTAATTAGCATAAAATTTATCAAATCTTGATATGCGAAGAATTCACAAACATGCTCCAAACTATTGTATATACTTAAATAAATATCCAGTCTATTAATTTTTATTTTTACTTGTATAGCACTCAAATTTTTACATGTTATCTAAATTATAATTAATATTAACTTATTTAAGATACAATATAACTTTTGATAAGTATGCTTTGATGTAATTCACGCTAAATTTTGGATAAGTAACTATAAAATATTATATATACCATAAAGAATTTATATTAGGTAAGTAAATCTCATGTATATTCAATTTGTCAAATTTTATGAGATAAAAGAAATACAAATATCGGTAATTTAATTATTTAATAATTAATTATTAAAATTAAATTAAACAATTTTATTATTTCCGGAGCATTCTGCATCTTTGCACCGCGCACATTGGTTGGAGGAAATGTGGCGACGAGTCGGGGCGAAGGTGGCTGTTGGGGCAGCGCTTCTCAGTGGGGCAGCCGTGAGCGCAACCATCTCCACCTCCGACGAACTCTCCACTGCCTTCAAGATATGCACCCTCGTTCCCATACGCGTCCTGCGCGATTCGGTCACAGCCGCCACCATTGCCTTCGGTCCGTGCACCAAACCTTATACCATATGCTCCTATCTTCCTTATTACTCAATTCATGTTCCTCTGGGTTGGGTTGTGCTCTCTATCCAACTTTTTTCTATCACACGGCCCCTTTATTTTCTAAGATTTGGTGATTATACCTCATATTGCACTTTCTCTCGATAATTTGATCCTGTAGCTTGGGTTTTGTTTTCTCTCTCTCTCTCTCTCTCAATCATCTATATATGCCTGTTTTTTGTTTGGATTTTTCCTGCTCTAAACTCTTTGATGGCACGGAAGATGTTAGGTTGATGCAAAGGATCACACGTGGTAAGACTTTGAAAGTCCATTTTTGCCTTGTAAAATCATCGTAATTTTAGGATGCATTTATTCTGTATTTATTAGAAGTTATTCATTCAATTATTTGCTATTATTAGATCACATTTTATTAGATGTTTCCCCGATTATGATAGAATTTTATTAGATATTTTCCTGTTTAGAAATTACCATAATTGTGGAATTTGTTCCACGATTCAAACTGGTCATCATGTATATAAATATAGGTTGTAATATGATTTTTTATTCATTCAGAAAATATATGAAAGAATTCAATCTCTTCTCTCAATTCATTCTCTAAAACTCACATAGTATCAGAGACATGTCAATTTTTTTCGGTATGACGACTTTTTCCTCTTCCTCCCAATAAGTATCCTCCGCCTTTTCTGCCTCTGTTCCAACCGGAATCGATGACACTTCCTCTCTCATCACTGGTCACAAACTCAACGGTCAACGGCCAGAACCGGCCAGAACTACCTCCAGTGGTCTCAATCCGTCATGATGTTTATCTGCGGCAGAGGCAAGAACGACTATATCACCGATGCTGCCGTCGCTCTGACCAAGAATGACCCAAAATTCCGGACATGGAATGCAGAAAACCACATGGACCAACGACATCGGCGAAAATTTTCTTCTCTACGATAAGGCCAAGAGTATTTGGGATGTTGCTCGAGAGACATACTCTCACTTGGATAACACATCCAAGCTCTTCGAGATCGAGTCAATCCTCCACGATCTTCGCCAAGATGAGCAATCCGTGACTCAATATTTTAATGTCCTCTCACGTTACTGGCAGCAGGTTGACATGTATGAAGCCCATGTCTGGTCATGCACTCCGGACTCCAACTTATACCGTCAGATCATCGAACAAAAAAAGATATTCAAATTCCTTCTCAGTCTCAACAACTCCCTCGATCATGTCTGCTCTCGTGTATTAGGCTTCAAACAACTACCGAACATTTGCGAGACTTTCTCCGAGGTTCGCCTCGAAGAAAGCCGCCAGAAAGTCATGATTGGGCTTATCTCCACCTCGCCCAATCTCTCCATTGACGCCTCCGCCCTTGCAGCTCGGGTTCCTTTGCCTCGACACAACGACAACATATCACGCAAGGGTTGTCCTTGGTGCGACCATTGCCACAAACCAGACCATTATAAAGACACGTGTTGGGTGCTTCATGAAAAGCCAACCAATTGGAAGCCTCGGTCTGAACACGTTCCTCGTGCCAACAGTGTCGTCGCTGTTGTGGACCTTCCTGCACCAGCGCCTAGTTCATTCAGCAAAGAGCAACTCGATTTGCTGCACAAACTGATAGGCAAACCATCTGATCTGGCTGTTCCCGACCCCATCACCGGTCTGCTTGTGCAACAAGGTACGTTCTACTATGCCTTCATAGCCAATCAAGGATCCTTCGGTTAGTGGATCATGGATTCCGACACTTCTCATCACATGACTGGCGATGCCTCCCTTCTTCACGACTATATGTCGTGCGGAGACAACTCCACCATCCGCGTTGCCAATGGCTCTGTCTCCAAAGTCACCGGCTTCGGCTCCGTGTGCATCACCCAAAACATTCTACTCTGATTTGTGCTTCATGCTCCTACTTTAAATTGCAATTTAATATCCATCCGAAAGTTGACTAGTGATTTGAGGTGTATTGCTAAATTTTTCCCTACCACGTGTGAATTTCAAGATGCGGACTCGGGGACGACGATTGACAATGTTGAGTTGTGATCGGGTCTCTACGTCATCAACGGTGCTTCACCACCACAACCTCACTACGGACATTTGTCTACCAATCATTTTGTCTTCAATTCTAGTGTCAATAAAGATTCCGAGATTATGTTATGACATTTTCGTCTCGGTCATCCAAATTTTATGTATCTTGCAAAACTGTTTCTAAATTTATTTATCAATAAAGATGTTCGTTCTTTTCAATGTGAATTATGTAAACTGGCCAAACACACTCGCACGTCATTTTCACGTGTTGGTTACACTTTTTCCCGACCCTTTGCACTCATTCACAACGATATTTGGGGCTCATCCCGTGTTACAACCCTTACCGGAACTCGGTGGCTTGTCTCATTTATTGATGATCACACTGGACTAACGTGGTTATTTCTTATGAAAGATAAATCTGCAGTCGATCGCATATTTGAACAATTTTACTCAATGATCCAAATACAATTCCAAATCTCCATCTAGACACTCAAGACTGATAATGCAAAAGAGTACTCCGCTTCCGTCTTCGGCTCTTATCTCTCCTCTAAATATATCCTCCATCTCAGTTCTTGCGTCGACACTCAACAAAATGAGATCACCGAACGCAAGAACCGCCACCTTCTCGAAGTGACCTGCTGTCACATGTTTTCCTCTAACATGCCTAAGGTTTTTTTGGGTGACGTTGTATCCACTGCAGCCTACCTCGTCAACATGATGCCTTCTCAGGCCCTCAAATTTCAAAGTCCAGTCGAACTCCTTCTCAAATTGTTTCCCCTCCCCACACCAAGACCCCACACCAAGACAATTACCCAAAATCTACCTATCAAAGTATTTGGTTGCTCCTCCTTTGTTCACATTCATTCACACAATCGCAACAAACTTGACCATAAATCTATTACATGTATTTTCCTCAGCTACGCGCCTCTTTAAAAAGGGTATAAGTGATACTATCCTCAGACAAGAAAAACCTACAACACTATAGATGTCACATTCTTTGAAAATCAATCTTACTACCCCAATTATAATTTCACGGGGAGACGTTAAGGAAATATTAGTCTTGGGGAGACAACGATTTCATATCACCACACACCAAATCCTCGTCCCTTGAATCGAACTCATTATCTTCCGACTCAGATCCAGTAAGTTCATCAAACTCACGTGAAAATGTACCTAACAAATGTACCTAACAAGTACCTAACAATCAATCTCCGTCTAGTCCTCAAGTGTCCAACTCGTTACCCATTCTTGCACCACCTCCCACGCACAACAAACACAGACCACCCATCACATCCAAGACCAATCCAAGAGTCAGAACCAGATCCAACTCCTATAGAAATCCACTCAAGTACGAACACACTTGAACATGAATCTACTATACCTATAATTGATGACTTGGACCTCCACTTAGGTACGAACACACGATGCATCCGATCTCCAACTTTGTGTCTTATGAAAGACTATTTTTAACTTACCGAGCCTATTTCACTGCATTCGACAACACGCAAGTCCCAAACACCATTGATGATGCTCTCAAACACCCGGGGTGGAAAGCGGTTGTCAATGAGGATGTAAGAGCCCTACAAAAGAATGATACATGGACTGTTTCAGACCTGTCAAAGGGAAAGAAAGCAATCAACTACAAATGGATCTTCAAAGTCAAACACAAGACAGTTGGTACAATTGAGAGATTAAAAACACGCCTCGTAGCAAAAAGTTTTTCACAGTCCTACGGTATTTATTACCAAGAAACCTTTGCCCCTGTGGCCAAACTTAACACCATCAAAATTCTTCTCACTTGCGGCAAATGAAGATTGACAGCTAAATTAACTTGACGTGAAAAATGCTTTCCTAAATGACTTGGAAGAAGAAGTTTACATGAAAGCACCTCCCGCACTAGAAGCATACTTTCCAAACAACAAAGTCTGCAAACTCTAAAAATCATTGTACGGCCTCAAACAATATTCCCTAGCATGGTTCGATAGATTTGCAAAATCTGTGACAAAACACGGGTATACTCTGTTTCAGACAAATTACACTCTCCTCGTGAAAACCTCTCCCGAAAAGAAGATTGTAATTCTAATCGTATACGTCGACGATATCATTCTCACTGGAAATCACAAAGAAGAACTCATAAATCTGACAAAGCTTCTCACTCGGGAATTCAAAATCAAAGGCTTCGGAAACCCAAAGTTCTTTCTCGATATGGAACTAGCTCGATCAAAATGAGGAATATTTGTGTCATAATAGAAATATACATTGGACATGTTGAAAGAAACATGTATGCTCGGTTGCAAACCCGTCGATATTCCTATGTATTCCATTGGATCCCGAAAGAAGGATCGACACTGAGAAAAATAGCGCACCTGTGGATAGGAGGAGATATCAACGACTCGTGGGGTGACTCATCTATCTCTCACACACACGACCCGACATTGGTTTTTCTGTTAGTGTTGCTTGACAATTCATGAACAGTCCTACGAAAAAACACATGAATGCAGTCTACAGAATCGTGAGATACCTCAAGATGACTCCAGACAAAGGGCTACTGTTTCAAAGGAATAAGAATCGAAGAATAGAAGTGTATTCAGATGCAAACTGTGCAGGGGATGTTTCAGACCGACGATAGACTTCCGACTATCGCACTTATGTCTGGTGAAACCTAGTCACTTGGAGAAGCAAAAAACAGTCTGTGGTATCAAGAAGTAGCGTTGAAGTTGAATTCAGAGCTCTTGCACTCGGGATCTGCGAAGGAATATGGATTCAAAGAATACTCAGCGAACTCAGAATGCTAACCGAAAAAATTGTCAAACTACAATGCGACGACCGGATAGCTATTAGCATTGCAAAGAATCCAGTACACAATGACAAAACGAAACACATTGAGATCGATCGACACTTCATCTCAGAAAACATTGAGAGAGGAGTCGTCGAACTTGCATATATTCCTTCCCGACATCAAACGGCAGACATCCTCACTAAGTCTTTGCCAAGAATCAACTTTGAAGAATTATGTAACAAGTTGAACATGTGCAATTTGTACAACCTAACTTAAGAGGGAGTGTAGAATCATCGTAATTTTAGGAGACAACTATTCTGTATTTATTAGGAGTTATTCACTCAATTATTTTCTATTATTATGTCAGATTTTATTAGATATTTTCCTGATTGAGACGTAACTTATTAGATATTTTCCGCTTTTGAAATTACCATAATTGTGGAATATGTTCCACGATTTAGGTTGGTCATCATGTATATAAATATATGTTGTAATCTGGTTTTTTATTCATTCAGAAAATATATGAAAGAATTCAATCTCCTCTCAATTCAATCTCTAAAACTTACATGCCTTATTGCCCATTTCATGTTTTTTGTCCGCTCATTTTCTCCTGTAGGAATTCTTGGAATAGTGTGGGAAAATTTTTGGTTTTTTTTTTTTTTTTTTTGGAGATGGGCTGGTGAGCGATAATCACAACCAAGCTAGCTGATAGTGATAGTGTGATGGGGGAGTAGCTCCCAACCACCAAGCCGGTACATTCTGGCGCAATCAGTGGCTTTAGGTCTGCTATGTTTATTTTATGTCAATAGAAATGACACTTGGCCATTTATTTGCTACGAGCGCCTGTGTGGCTTCTAGGAGTATTCAAAATCAGAAATGAAAATCAACCAAAATAATGTTTAAAAGCATAGAAATTAAAAAATAATAATAATTATTTTCTTAAGAATTTCTAAATTTGATACTACAAGAGAAAGACTTTTTAAAAGCAACATCTTGCACTTTATATCATTTAATGCCCTCTGTGATGTCCCTGCTCAAGAATGTGTACCTCTTGCATGATTCAAATGTTTGGAAGAATAAGGTGTTGCCGATGACTTCTGCTTCGTAGATGTAAACATTGTTGGAAAAAGCATTTGGTATTATGTTATGGGCGTCTTTTTTAATGCAAATGTTAAATTTATAATATTTAGCAGTCACAAAAAATGTTTGTCTAGGAGGATCTTTTTCTATATGTTTGTATTCTATTTAATGAAAATTTTGGGCTAAGATTAGGCTCCAATCTATCTATTTTATTTCAAGATGCTTGTAGTAATAATTTTGATTTATTATCCATGCATTGAACTCATACAAAATTTTATTTATTTAACATGATTAATTTTACCTTGTTTATATGTATGTTGGTTGTCTTGGAATAGCCACAGGTGACCTGTAACCTTTTAGTGAGATTGAGTGGAAGAGACTTTGAATCTTTATTTTAATGTTGAGGATGTGTTGTGGAGTTTATGATAAAGTGATGAGGAACTCAAAGGGGTATGCTAGTAGAAATGCTAGGACTAGACCAAATTGGGCTATTTTGGGCTGGTTTAGAATATTACTTTGAGAAGGGGCTTTCGATGAGGTAAATGGCTGACAGCTCTAATGAATGACTAGCTTAGGATATTTAGTCATATGGAGTAGATGACTAGATTTGGCGCACTTTATGTGGGTGTCGAGCTGTTGAGAAAAAACTAAGTTCTTATCTTACCTAGCTTGGCCGAGAGCTTCAACAAGGATTTTGGAGTAGGTGTGAGGTTTAGGTTGGGTTGAGGCTGGTCGTAGAAGATGATAAAGATGCAGAGAAAGATGTGAGAATAGTTTAAAGAGTGGGAATTTAATAGAATAACATATAAAAAAAATAAAAACAATTATAACCATCTTATCTCACAAAAAGAAAGGCAAAACCAAGCTCCAAGATTAAGAAAAGGGCATTACTTTACTCAATAATTGAAATTATAAAGCATTTTAGCTTATATTTACAGGCATTATTAATCCCCTAGGCATTATTAATCCCCTAGGCTGAAAACTTTTGAAGGAAAAAAAAAAAAGAGAAAAGTGGGGTTGATGACCATCAATAAAATATTAGTTCCAATCACTCATTTTTAATTTCTTACTGCCAATGTTGACCATACAAACACCGAAACAAAAATAAAATGTAAAAAATTTTTAAATACAAATTACATTCAAATTATTTTAATTTATGGACTTATCAGTGTGCTCTTGTATTGGGCCTATTCTTTGGTTTTTCCCTTGGATTGTAGCCTTAAATCTTATAGCAAGGCTTTTAAGTTGGTTTTATTGATTGACAAGATGCATTAAATCATCTTGTCTTGGTTTTCTTTGTTTCACCTATTATTTGTTGAAGTTTATTGATTTAACAATTCTTTTAATACTTAAATAATAATTTATTTTACTTGACTAACCTTTTTTCCTCTTAAAAAATCAATTTTCCTTTTTTACTTTTCTTATTCAGACTATGGATATTCTTTGCGGGGGCTTAAGGAGGGAAGTCTTGAGTGGTCTAAAGCCAAGCATGAAGTGCATAATAGATGCGCACTTAGGCTGCAAGAATTGTGCTTTCGCAATGGAGGAATTTACATTAAGCTCGGTCAACATATTGGTCAATTGGTATGATTGAGGTCTACTTAGTTAAATATTATTTTTTGAAGCAATATTCCTTTTTTCTATGAATATAGTGCTCTTAAATTAACTACTAAGATGATAGTATGGTATTATTAAGTTTTAGATATTCATTTTTATTTTGTTCTTTTGATACTTGTTAGAAGTGAGAGTCCACATGCACATACTTGTTAGCTCTGCTAATCGGTTATTTTTTTGTTACGAGTTTATGAAAATTAAAATTGCCGATAATCACAGGAAAAGAAAGAGGTTTAGCAACGAATAATCCTTTGTATTGTAATCTAATGCGATTTGATTTGTTATCTTATGCTTATTTAATTATTTTGGTATTGTATGAATTCTCAAACACAAGTTAAAGTTTAAAGTTGTGAATTTAACTGATATTACTTATGTATATTATTGTAATTATGTTTGCCAAATAAATTGTGTATTAGTTGCTCTATATTGGAAAAATATTTGCTTTATCTTGAGCACTAAATTTAAGATAACTCAAATAATCTTGGGAAGCTCCACTTATAATTTTTCTGCTATGTTCTTTTGTGAAGCCCCTTAAGCGGAATGCAGCTAAATACATAAATATGAAGGTATTTTTTAGTATAACGACTGAAATTTCATTAGAAACTTCAATGTTAAGCAAGCTCATATGAGAGCACTCTTAAGATGGATAATATTTTGCGAAATTACATCAATGTGACAAAATCGTGAGGCTATTAGGCTAAAGCGAAAAACATTTTGATGGGTGAAGCTCAAACTATTATAAATGATATTAGGACATTACACCAGCTTGAAGATCGAAACTAAGCATCATATAGAACAAAGTGCTGTGCTTTAAGAACCACATCTTCAAATCTAGATGAGACAAAGTACTATATGGTGGGAGTCACCTCTTGAATCTATAAGGTGCTATGGTTAGAATTCCATCTACCTGGTAAATGATTCTGGGTTAAGAATATCAACGAAGACATCAGTTACTTGAGCGGGAGAGATGGTGAAGCCCCTTAGGTAGAATGAAGTTGAACGCTTAATTATCTGGACACCTTTTGGTGTAACGATGGAAATTTTATTAGAAACTTCAAAGTTAAGGCTCCTTGTATGAGAGTACCCTTGGGATGGGTGACGTATTGGAAAGTTGCACCAATAAGACAAAATCGTGAAACTAGTAGGCCAAAGCGGATGACGTCTCGATGGGTGAGAGTTTGGGCTGTGAAACATTTATCACTTAGAAATAACTTTAACCAAAATTAAGTAAACTAACAGATTTTACTTCTGAATGGGTACATTTTGGTAACATCTTGGGTTTTCTTTTTTGCATATATTTCAAGATTTGTCAAGCATTTCCTATAAAAATATGATTTACAGTAAATTGACACAAGTTATACCTTACTTGTTTGTGGCATTTAATCACTGCTGCCTTGATTTGTAGAAAGTATTAGATATTTTTTAATTATATGGAAGGTTACCTCATCACAATACACATTTAAGATCTTAGGCATTGTTTTATATTTTTCCTTGTGTTTACTGTATTCCTCAACTCTTATTGTTTGAAACAAAGTTTTAAAAGTCATGTTTAGTTTGGGTCCTAGTCCCATCATGAAATTGTTATTTTCAATAATCAATTTCAAGGTTCAGTTTTTTTTTTTTTTTTTAATTGTTCACTCTTTTATTATAAAACATTTCAAAAAATATATTTGAAGTATGAAACAAGTGAAATTTCTTATGTTGGCTCAACTTATAATACATATGAAATTCAAGATTTTGGGAAAGCTTACCTGATTACTTGATGCATTAAGGATTTTTGCACAGTTTTATCCTTTTCCTTGTGTTTATTGTAGTATCAACTCTTATTATTTGAATTAAGTTTTGAAACTCAGGGTTGATTTCCATGTCCACATAAATTTTTAGTTTGATCATCTTAAGATTCAATTTTGGTTGGGCTTTTGGTTACTCTTTGTTATAATTTTTTTTCAAAATTATACTCTAAGTATTAACAAAGAATTATCTAATTGAGATTTAAATTTTAATCCATGTAAAATTTAATGAGATCGTTTTTATAGACTATCATAGAACTTTGACAAATATTTAAGATATATAGTGAATTTTCATTAAAATATGACGTTTGTGTGAAATTTAACCTCCAAGTTTCACTCAAAACTTGCTGAAACTCTAATGTCAGCTAAAACTTTTTAAATTGTATAAACCTAAAAATATTATGAGTTTTGGATTAGTTCCAAATGAGTCATAGCTGAAACCACCAAAACTCAAAATTTTAAACTACTTTAGGAATATGTGGCCAACTTGCCATTAAGATCACTTATGAATCATATTTATTTATCACCGTGGCACTGCAAATATCTTTTTTAAACTCGTTATTTTTAATCTTGATTTGACTGAGAAAATTTTGGGATTAACTTTATTTTCATTATGGCGTTGCATTCGAGAAGCATGAAATGTGTTCTAAATCATGATAGAGATCAAACAAATAATGAAATGTGTGTGAAATGATACTTCTGGAAGATAGCAGGACCGAAACACAATGGAGCAAAGCTATAGATTTGGATTCAACTCGTTTAGGTGTAGTTCAAGTTGAAAATGAAAAAAGGACAAATTTTATATCTGTGTGAATTAAAAGAAGATTTACAAGTGAAATCTATCACACCTTTCTGACCGGGCCTTGGAAGGAACTCAAAAACCTAGTAGGAGGGTTTGTTGAAGATTAAAAAATAATTTCAATCGATATATATACTTTTATATATATATATATATATATA